AAGCAAGACAATGTGTGTGTGTGTGATGCGGCATTCACCCTGGGCGGATTGAGCCGGCTTCTTCCTGTTGTGAGAAGCAAGACAATAATGCCACTAAAATGCAAGCGGTTACTATGAGTGAAAAAACAGAAAGGACAATAAAAGAACAGGATTCAAGGAGACAAAATATAACGATTGACACTGCATTTACATTAATCATAGTTGACAAAGAAAGGGAATTCCACAAGCGAGAAGTGAGAGAAGAAATCATTAGCATAAAACTTACGGTTACAAGGAGCAATTTCAACAGTGAAATCATGTCACTTAGCTGTACTGCGCTTAAATTTGTGAAATCATGGTACCAAAGAGGAAAGCTATATTTATTTTGAAAAATAAAAAAAATGTGGCACAAGGCCAAAAGAGGGATGAGGAAGAGTGGTCTTATAATTAAACTTAACTAACCACGATTACTAACCCAAACACACCACAGTATTCCTTACACAAAAACAATACATTTTTACTTGCCATTCTTACTACAGCCACCATAATACCTCAGAGTCTCTATGTAGTCCTAACTAGTTCCCATATCTACAATTTATCGGGGGGTAGGGGAGCATAAATAAAGACAAAAGTTCATCAGAAAAATTACCGTGAACATATTTATACAAAGGTCAAAGGGAAGATACGTTACGGTGGTGGAAAAGTGACTGAAGCCGAAACGCTAGGTCAATCCTCCAACGTATGCCAATCACATGTATTGACCCTAGATGCACGCACTCTTTACTGAAAACGACAGATGCTTTCCTTATCATGGAAAATTAATTTCTCTCAAATTAACACTAATACTCAGTGGTTCAACTGAACTATTGTAACCATCGTTACAACTAAAAGGCACGACAGCTGATTGTGATTTTAATTGAACTCTTCCAAGGTGTATGTGCACCGCACAAGCAGATGGTCTGGAAAAATGAGATCACTCATAAGGTTGTTTTTGTTTAGCGGTATAACAACACCTCTATGGGTCATTTAATGTTGGAATCTTAAGTATTTTGTACGCAATTTTATTTTATTTATTTTCTTTTTTGTGATAATAATGGTTTTAGTGATAAAAAAATCTTACTAATTGGCACATATTTGGGGTGCAGAGAAGAGATGGAACTATACCTTTCCCAAGAGTATTTGCGTATAAGTGAATATAATGAACCAAACTGAAATTGGAACTCGGCTCTCCGATTAATAATTTCGAGCCATTATCCATTACATCAATCGCACATCCGAGTTTACAGCACCTAGTAATCCCTAACGGTCACCCATCTAGGTACTGACCAGGTCCGACGCTGCTTAACTTCGGTGATCGTATGTGAATAAATGTTTCAACATTACAAGGCTGTAAGCCTTTGTGCGTAGAGAGGATGAGTAAATAAGATTGGAATTCTCTAGTGTTGTCCAGACGCCCTATTTTGACTATCATGTGTTTCATTCTTCTTTCTTTTTCTTGTTCTATATGCCACGTCCCTTCAGGACATAGGCGATAATGGCTCTCCACAACTTCCTATCCCTTGTAGGCCTTAGCACTGTTTTTTTTTCTCTCGCTTTTCTGAGTCTCCGTTCTGCCGTTCCATCAATCCATTCACACAAGCTCGTCTGATAGCTGATTTGTTGCCTTACTCCAGCTGTCACTATCTCCTGTGAGAACTAAATTTTCCAAGTCCTCCTTCCTCAGTATGTCTAAGGAAGTTTAGCTACCTCTTCTTGATTCTAAATGTTCTTTTTTTTGTCATGTTCTTGAAAAAACCTTTGTTGCTTACTCGTTCTGTCCATGGAATTTTCAGCATTCTTCTGTAGAACCAAATTTCTGTTACTCCAGTTTTCACCTTATCCGAGGGTCGATTAGTTAGTTTTCCTTGCCATATAAGAGGATGGATATGTGTTATATATCGTACCTATGAACACTAATGGGTATGTCCCAATCCTCATAAATACGTTGGACACTATTGTGCGTGTGTGTGTGTGTGTGGGGGGGGTAATATGCTGCCTAAATAGTCCACCACTAGCAGTGGTTTACTTACTTCACATCGCTAGCGAGTATTGTATTTTGTTGATGTTATAAAGATTACAATTTCATTTCCAACCTCCATTTTGGTTATTCCTCACTCAAAAACACTTTCTAGGTCACAACAATATCACATCGTAATCCAGTCCTCGTTTTCTTTGTTTCTAACGAAATCTTTCTGTTTCTCCTCACTTTGCTTAACCTTTGAAAGACATCTTTCGCTCGTCCAATGCATGTTCGGAATTCGATGCCACATTTTCCATCCTCTGTTAAAACATTTCCCAGATCTTTAAACTTCTTTGATTTTGACATCATCTTGTTTTAACTCGCATTTCAGGCTTTTTCTCTTGTGTTTTATTACTATGACGCTTTTCTCTACTTGCTTTATTTTCATTAAAATAAAACTTTTTACCGTTGTTTTCTTTTTCACGATCGAACCCAAACTGTGGCTCTCAATACCTAAGGCCTCTTCGGTTGATTTTAAGTCTTGGATTCGTTTCACCAAACGTGAGAAGATTCTTTTCGCAATATTTCATTATCTTCATGTACCCCTTGCAGCTCGCGAAATCATTGACTCTTTTAAACTCCGTAACACACGAGGTGCATTCCAGACATTTTGAGATTTTTCCAGTAGAGTCATTAATTTCAAAGAAGTACAAATCTCCAATCTTGTTCAAAGTAGAATTCTCAGATTTCAATGCACTTGTAGCTCTCCAGCCACTTCGTTGGAGGTCCCATTAAGTCATCCAAAGTGAAGGAGGTACCCAGGACTTTTGTCACATTCTCCTTCTTCTTCTCAGTGTCTTCAAAACGACTTCCCCTGTGCTTCTCTTTCTGCTTGAGGGGTGGGGGCAACCAAAAGTCACAGGAAGCAAGGTCTGGACTGTAAGGGGAATAAGGGACACTTCTGATGGCAATCTTTGTCAACACAAAACTTTATTAAAAAAGCAAGCTTCCAAATTGTTTTCATGTTTCAACTGCATTCTGCAAACTAGTCAGCTGTGACAAGCAGTGCTTTGTGGGGTGTGTCCAAGGAGCTGTTACACCCGTCTGCTTATTAGACGTATAGCAATGATTTACTAAAATTACAATAATCTAGGACATTTATAAATGATTCTCCTAAAAAAAAGTTTCAAGACTTCTGGAATTATAATTTTATTTTTACTGCTTTGAATTCTTTGACAATGGGATTGATAAGTAGCATAGCACCTTTTCAGCTCTGCAGGACTCATTCGCCATAGGACCTCGGAGCTAATTCCGGATTAAAACGTCAACCACCCTCTCTGTAACCTGAACTGTTATCACATCTGCTTCAGTTACATCATATTGGGTAGGAAACCAAACGGCTACAGCCATTCATTCAATCAGATTCTGTAGATGCGACTTAACTGACATCGCTAGGTCAACCTTGAGCCTCGTAACGGAAACAGAATTTCATCGATTTTATCCAATGACCTTTAATGAATTTTGCTTTAATCCAATAATTAATAAATCTCAATATTTCTCATATTGATCTAAGAAAATGAACAGCATATAGATTTACATGCATATCACATCACGTTAGTCATCCAAAGAGGCAACGCCAGAAGTGAGTAAGAAAAGATACTGCGATTGGGTTAGCCATCTTGGCAGAGAAATATTAAACGTGAACAGACAGGAATATGTCAGGAGTTTTCATGCACCTATTGATGCTTTATTATTCACAACTATCTTCCTATTCCAGAATCTAAATGATGCTTTATATTCCCAAATTGTGATTTAAATAAGCGAGAGACCCTATGAAAGTGATGCCTCTAATTTATTTTCACGGAATCTACCAAAGGTATAGGAAGAAAGATAACACCGTTGGATAAAACAACTTTTCAGCGAAAAAATGTTTTTTTTAATAAAGTCACCACCATTTTTTAAGCATTTACACCAAGCAATGAATAAGTGTTCTTAATTTCGGGAATAGGCAGCTCTGGTGGGCGTCTCGGAAGGTGGCTTGTTGCACACATCGCTGTCCCTATTGCTTAAATATATTACCCACCATCCAACTGTGAAAATCAGGAAAAATGATGACGGCATGACTCAACGTTTCTCCAGAAGTCTTTCGTTTGCATTCCATACCACGCCAAGATGCTTCACTTCACATAATCAAAGATGGTCCGGCACTAATTAAATAGATTGATCCACTACTTAAATAGATTGATCCACTACTTTAATAGATTGATCCACTCGTAAAAAAATAGAGCAAAAGATGATTCTTCTTCTTCTTATTCTTTCACCCTTAATCCCAGAAGGAGTCGTTAAGGCGGCGACGCGCTGAGCTGCTCACCGTTCTAATCCATCTCCAGGTTAGTCCACAGTCGCTGTCCTCCAACTAGGTGGCTCGCTATGGTTGCGAACAGGTGGCCATTGTAGTTCATCTGAGGAACCCTTCCGCTCTTGCCGGTTACCTGAGTCGAGGAGGTCCTTCCCCAAGTAGTGCTGTGTTAACACCACCCCTCACGTGAATTTAGCCCGCCAGTTGAGACAATTTACCGTGGCATGGCAACTTGGACCCATATTTGTACATTAGTATTCTTTAAACTTTCCGTATGCCGCGTCACTTGTCAGAATCGAAAAATATTGATTTTTCATCGATTTAGAAGGGGGTTCTCTTTATAATATAAATAGGGTGTCAAATCGATCTCTGACTTTTACAGAGTTATTGGAGTTAGCCGTTGTTTATGAGTGGACCATTAATTGATTGATTGATTCGTTTTCTACGGTTTAACCCTTTTCAGGTTATTTAAAGCCAGAAAATATTTTTAGATTGTAAGAGTTTGGAGTGGGGGCGATAATAATTAACCAAGGGTGGTTAGAGGTGGATTCATACCTTTCCCAAGGGTATTTTCGCGTAAGTGAATATAACGAACCCAACTGAATTTAGAACCAGGTTCTCCGATTAACAATTCCGAGCCATTATCCAGTAGACACATCCAAGTTTACAGCACTTGGTATTCCCAAGCGGTCACTCATCTAGGCACTGACCAGGCTCGACATAGCTTAACGGCGGTGATCGTACAGGAACCGATGTTTCAGCGTGATATAGCCGTAAGCCACGTGAATAGATCAGTCTATTTAAATAGTGCCGGTATTACTACGGCACACTAGTTACCTATCCCATGACTTTTAGCCTACCAGTGTATATAAGTAGAACTGATAAATGTTTACTCAATCTCATTCCCAAAATACACAACATCCTCTGACGTCATGAACCAAGATAATAAAATAGAAGATATCACTGCAGAAGTGACCCACGCATTTGAACAGTTTTTCTTTTGTTTTGTTTTTAATTTTTTAACATTTTTCTTTTCTTTGTTTTTATATATATATATATATATATATATATATATATATATATATATATATATATATAATACTCTGGCCCTTAGAAACATTCCTCTGGCCTTCCTTTTGAATCACGAACATCGGCCTGGGAACAGCTGATCTAAAACATTATTTTCAACATTTTGACCTACGAAAATCATTTCCCACTCCCCCACACTGTGAAAAATGATGTGTACTAATTTTAAAGTGCTAATTCTAACAGCATACCCATTCACCAAACGCATTTCCAGCGCTTGATACTTTTCATCATATTTTTTAATTTTCAACATGTATCTTGCTAAAATAACAAATCTTTCATTGTAAATTTTAAAAAAATCAGGAAATTGTTCCGTTTTATTTATAACCTGTTTCTTTTGGGAACTAATTCCCTTTTTTCCTGCATTAAGATATCGGCCTTTTAACACGATAAGCTGAGGCGGGCATTGGCATTCTAAATCTCAAGGAAAACTTTCCTCCAGGCAACAACTTGGGTAGAGTTATTATTTGGCGCTTGAGGTGTCCCCAAAAGAGGAATTGCCAATGAAACTTCTTTGATGTGACGTGTGCCTTCAGAACGTTGGCGATCATGACTCTCAACAATTCCCTGTCCTTAGTAGCTCTTTATTCTTTTTCTTTTTATTACCTCCCTTAAACCCTGTTCTGCCATCCATTTACTCAATCTCGTTACATAGGTTAGGCGTTCTTTTCCTCTTTCGTTCAATATCTTCTGTTAACGTCAAATTCTGTAAGCCCTTTCCTCAATTATTTCTCCTAGGAATTTAAAATTCCACTTTCTAATTCTAAATATAAGCACTCTTTTTGTTTCTATTTTCCCTAAAACTTCCTAGTTACTCACATGTTCAGTTCATGGTATCCTTAGCATCTTTCTATAGAATCACATTTCAGTTTCTTCAAGTCTCTTTTTCATCTGTGAGGAGATTGTCCATTATTTACTGCCCTATTGAATGACTGATATTACGTAACAGTTAAGTACTCTTTTCTTTGTTTCTATCGATATTTTCATGTTTCTTGATACTTTGCTTAGCTTTTTGAAGGCATCTTTTACTATCTAAATGGTCCTTCAGATTTTTGGTGTCGCAACAATGTATTATAACTGATATAATAGAAATAAAATAACAACGTGAGTACAGGAATATTTTTATTGCACAGTGACTGAAGATAATTTCTCTCTTTCTATGTTCACACTCCCTCTCTCTCTCTCTCTCTATATATATATATATATATATATATATATATATATATATATGTATGTATGTATGTATATGCGTGTGTGTGTGTGTGTGTATTATGATTAAAATATAGTGTTACGGTATGCTATATTAATGGAAAACGTGCTCAATGTCAGGGATAGAGCGTATGTAAATATGAAAGTGGACATTGAGGTTAACACCGAGAGGCGCCAGTCTGTTTCATGCTTGAACGCAAATCTTCAGACATTCATCGCCACTTACTTATGACTTCAGTGTCTATTTTTATATTTACATACGCTCTATCCCTGATATTGGGCACGTTTACGCATAAATAGAGCATACTTTAACACACATGCACACAGACACAGGCGCGCGCGCACACACACACACACACACATATATATATATATATTTATATATATATATATATATATATATATATATGAAAATCATATTATAGTATGTGTGTGTGTGTGTGTGTGTGTACACAGGGTGCGATGGATAAATTGTCGTTTAAATTACGCAAAAATGAATATAATACTGACATTTCATTTTAACAGAGATTACCAAAAATTGCACAAAAATATCTTGAAATACTAAAGAGTAAATTTATTCAATAAAATCGCTATTGGCTTCAACCACTGCCTCCAGATGACTTCGAAATATCTTGCAACTCCTTGTTTAAGTTGGTGAATGTTGCCATAATCCTTGCTCTCAGTTAATCTTTAGTGTTACAAGGAGTTTTGTTGGTCTCTCTCACAACTGCGTCTCACATATAACAATTAAGTCGGTTGCAGTCTAGGGAGTTAGGTGGGCAGATATAAGGGGTGACAGCCATGACTGGGTTCTCCTGCTTGTGTGGCATGGTGCAGAGTCCTGTTGCCAGGCATAGGGGCTTTCAGAAGCTACATTCTTGAACCAGGACAGCACTACCTCCTCAAGGAACTTGATATAGGCTTCCGTGTTTAGTCTGAGGTCCGCACCAACAAATTCGGGAGTTTTTTTTTCTTATCAGAACGATCAGAGTGAATATTCAGATCTGTCATACTTTCGTAATCACAATTACACTTATCCAACTCTTTCCGAATCCGCTGCACTATACTCAGATTGATACCCAAACACTCTGAAATGTTCGTATTGAAGCTTCCGGTGAGAATGCCAAGCAGTAAAGCATGCCGTTTCCAAATTTCTGGCAGAGTGAATTGCGGTGCCCAAATGATCATACTATACTGTGCAGTCGATAAAAACAAAAACAAACAACGTGCATGCGCGAATCAAAAATATAAAATGGTGATGAGTTACGAATCGCACCCTCTCTCTCTCTCTATATATATATATATATATATATATGTGTGTGTGTGTGTGTGTGTGTGTGTGTGTGTGTGTGTGTGTGTGTGTGTGTGTGTGTGTGTGTGAAAATGTAATGAAAAGTTTTGGTTTCGACGAAGAAAGTATATAAAAAAATTCAGATATTTGGTGATTTGGTTGTATTTTTTTAGAATTTGGCCAGGCCAAGAATATTTCTATATTCTTTTCGTGTATATATATATATATATATATATATATATATATATATATATATATATATATATATATATATATATATATGTATGTATGTATGTGTGTATGTAAAATATATAATTGTATGAAATTTAAGTATTTCTTCTGTAGAAAATATACTGGCTTTCAAACAGAAACCTAATATAGAAAAAAATAAACATCTTACTTTCTCACGATGCATTTGGCTCCACCCATAGGAACAAAAAGAAATTCTTGAAATATCATGTTTCTTCCCACTTGGCCAGAACAATAAATGTTATACGCAAAACGCCGAGAGATGCAGACTTTGGCTTTCGATCAAAGTGGGGTGTAGAAGTTAGCCAGTTACAAATTCTATACGTCCATGAAAAATGAAAACACATTTAAAGGCAATCATATAATCGGCGATAAAAATGCTTGTTTGGAAATTGTTTTTCTGTTTAGGCAATTAGTACATGACTGTGTAATTCTGTTTCAAATAAAAGGATAATCTTCGATTAAACGAGTAGATGGGATTGAGCTGAGTCGTGATCGTTAAACAGAAGTAAAAACGTGCAATTATGAGTTTGAAAGTAACATATTCTGTTATGTAGACATTTATTGATAGATATTAACAAAGATATTAACACTGACAATGAAGACTTTTATTGATAGATATTTACAAAGATATTAAAACTGACAAACCGTTTTTGCTTTTTTGTCGTCTGTAGGCAAGAATGATACAGATATTTTGGCCTACATTTGTAAGAATAGATTTGTTAGATATACCTAACATTACCAGAATCGTAGCAGAATGTTTTTTTTTGTGGGGGTGGAACCAAGCCACCCACCCCACGGGGCTGCTATGATCCTGTATACCCTTGGGAAATGTGTGAATCCATTTCTTCTCCTTCCAGCTATAGGTTAAATAGTAGGAACTGTATCTGATAGAATCATAGTTATCTCCAAAAGAAATAGTTAATGTAATATTCACTCGCAAAAAAGGAGATAATTATTCTTCAGTCAGTTATGTGCCATGCATGATACACGCTTAGGCGATCATGTATCTTTCGATACATAACTGACGAGGCAGATTTTTTTTTCCCGCAGTAGATTGCCATTTCTTTCTGCAGTAGACCAGTTGCCATCAAAGGCTATAGAACTCGATCTGTCTTGCTATTTACCCATAGCTGGGGGGGGGTGAGAAGAAGAGGATTCATACCTTTCCCAAGGCACGTAAGTGAATGTAATGGATTCGACTGGAATTCGAACTCGGCTATCCGATTTCTCAATCCGACATTCTCCAAAATATGGTTCGGTTTTAAATAACACACAAAGGGTTGATAAACCGTAGAGAAAACAAATTCAAATCTGACGGCTGTTAGTTCTGTAGTTGTTGGATTTTGTTGTCGAATTAAAGAAAAAGAACCTTTATTTTGAATGCAAACAAATCTTTCAAAAATATCTTGGAACAAAGAAATATTTATAGATGAATCGTTTGAAGATTCATTTGCCGAAACTCCTTATTGTTTGCGAATATACACGATGTATCAGGGGTTTTTTTAAACGTATATGTGTTCTGAGAAAATAGGTACATATATTATCTATATAATATGCTATATACTAAACTGTTATGTGATATCTGTCCTCCTGTATGGGAGTGAGTGCTGGACAATCTCCTCAAAGAAGAAGAGACTTGAAGCAAGAGAAATGTGGTCCTTCTAATCCATTTATCCTACACAGCCTTATAACATCATGAGTAGCAGTGGTCTTTCCTGGGCAAGATAGCCTGGTGGAGCCGAAATGAATTTTGAATTCAGAGTATTCCTTCTCCTAGACTGGCTGTCAAACAAGTCTTTAGGACCCAATCTGTCCTGCTATTTACCCATAGCTGGGGAGAAGAGATGGACTAATACCTTTCCAACGTAATTCGAATTTTGCCCTCCGATTTCACAATCCGAGCCGCTAACCATTGCTCCACTGTGACTCCTTATAATAT